TTCAGTTGCATATATACAGACATATCAAAATGTCATTACCACACATTCAATTATTTAAAAAACAGTGTCATTTAAACTACACCTGGTATGTTTTCATCAGTTTAAAACTACAGAAACAAGCAACAGTTTGTCAATTTTGAAAAAGAAATCAGTGTCAGGGAGTTAGTGTCTTCTGCAGTACACACACTTACTTTATGATGACGAAATATGTGATTAAAGGTGTAACACTGTGGAGAATCTATTGGCAGAAATTGACTATAATATTCATAATTATGTTTTCATTAGTATATAATCACCTGGAAATTAGAATTGTGTTTTTGTTACCTTAGAGTGAGCAGTTTTTGTCTACAGAGGAAACGGGTCTTCTTTCATGGAGTCTGCTGTGTTCTACAGTAGCCCAGAATGGACAAACCAAACAAAACGCTTTTTGGCGAGTTTCACTGCCACTGTAGTTTCCTATACGCTTGGAACGGGAGAATGTGGTGAGGGGGTTGTAAACTGCTACACCAGTAGATGGCCCTAACTACATAATACATACTGGCCTCTAAGTTTCACATGACGGGAGGTTTTTCCAAATGAAACATGGCCTGCATCTTTAATAATGAGTATCACAAACGTATACCTCAAATTAACATTTCCCCTCATCCATTACATCCCTGTGGAAGTTCCTTATTTGGCACCTGCTCTCTAGTTTGATCACACAGCCTGGAGGAAAACATCTGGATAAATATCTGCCAAATGTTGTTGTATTCATGTTTTTGCTTTTCAACTTGTCACCTATCTTTGTGCAGTTGCCATGTGAATCCATAATCTTGGTTGATTTATATATTTTTTGCAGCTCTTTAATTGTTTAATCATTGTTGTTTTTTATTTAGCTTTTACACTTATGTGTTTCATTACCATTCAAATAGAGTAGAATCAAATTTCAAGCATCCTTTTATTGTCTGGATTTTCCTCTGGCTCCTGATTTGCTTGGTCAAACTGGAACTGGTTTTAGCATCTAGCTGGTGGTTTCTACAGCGCCTCCCCTGCCATGAGCCTCTACACTACTGTTGTCTAATGACAAACACCTCTATATGTCATCCGCTATTTCCTCTCGTGACTGGTTGATTGCCCGACCAGCGACACTGCTGCAACCACGAGTCCATAAACATCATAATACTCCCTGGAGGGTTTCAATGTCCAGCTTGAGAATTGCTACAGCGTCTGTGTTGCTCATCTGTCACATGATTTCTGGCTTCAGCACTATTGTGGTGACAAAGTTTCCCTCCAGGTCAGCTCATCCACCAAGCACCTGGTACCACAGTTCTCACACAGAACCAAAGGCAATCCTCTCATTGCAACAGAAAAGTCAGAAATGATTTAAAATGCAAGTTTAATACTAAAAGAGAAATTAGATTTGAGTGAGACAACGTAGGTACGCAAGAGAAAACTTGGAATTATTAATATTAACTAGGAAACTATGTGTAAATAAATTGACAATTTTACCTTCAAGATGGGAACATTGTTCTTTGATGAACTGGTCACAGAAATAGGTCACAAACAGACATTGCTTCATTTTCAGGGGTCAGAAGCTAAAAAGCTAAAAAGTTTTAATGTTTTACCATGACTGACCAACTTGATTGTTTTAATGTAATACTACTTTTTGCAAGAACTAATCTAGAAAAAGTCAGGAGGGGCACATCTTTTAAGATGATTTCTAAATTGTAAAAGATGCCCTTAATGGTGGCTTTAAGCGGTGTCAATCTTTTTCCAGTATTTCCCCCATTTATTTCCTTCTAATAAGAATGTGAATAAATGTTGATTATCACTAAAGAGGGTGGAGGTATGAACTTTTATTATTCTCCTTATTGTGATGTCAATCAGCTTAATCTTGGTTAGACTACATTAATAAGACTTATTAAAGGGAATTTCACTTTCTGCAAATACAACAAGCATGCCAATAAAAGTCAAATAAACATTGAGCTACATGATTGTTGATTGATGATTTTATAATCGCTGTGTCTAATTAGTTCAGTGATTATCTTTGTTGCAACACTGTGCTGCCATGGAAATTTGCTGGTAACAGGTGGAGATTTTGAAGTCACTGTTGTTATTCAATATTCTATTCTCACTCCAGTGTTGTGCACTGCCTAACAAACTCCTCCACCAGAGGAGGTGCCTACTATAAAGTACTTGTGGACAAGAACAGGACAATGGGGCAGTGACATAAACTGTACTGAACAATTATTATCTGCTCTGGCGGCCTCTTTTTACAGCTGCTCTGTCTGGAGGCAACATCTTCTATTTGTCAGCTCTTCCTTTTAACACCTGCTTCTTTTTTCACTCTCTTATGTTCAAGACTCATGACACATCTCTTAAGTATATCTGTATAGTGTTTTATTATTACTGTATTACAGCAGATATAGGACAAATTTATTTTGTTCCAAAAGACCCAAGTGAGCTGTCGTTGGTGCACTGTGATGTTGCCATGGCTTTTTTATACACTACCTCCTTTTTTGATTATTACCCCTTTATACAACTTTTGTTAAACAATTTAAATAGCTAGTAGGTAGGTAGTAGGTAATAATAGAATTACTCAAATATATGTATATTCATTGTGTTTTATATGAACTAAAAATTACAAAATTCTAAAAACGTATATTATGTAGGCTATTTGTTATATTCCAAACTTGAATCCACCTCATTATCATCCCCAGCTGAACTTTGTAGCATCATTAAAGAACAGTATCAAACTTTAATATATATAAGCACTTCTCCTGTGTCTAAATGTCCTACAGCCCTGAAGCAAAATAAGTCAAAATTGCTTTTAAAATATATATAGCCTGACTTTCAGCAACTTCCATGTGCAAATACTGTATCGGCTTCTTCCTCTGCAGAACTGGAGGACAGTCAACTCTAACCTTTTGCCTCATTCTGAACGCTTTAATTTATCTCATGGTCCCTCAGGCCATCTCAGTCCTTGAGCCCTCTGCAATTGTATGGAATATTATCATTTAATGAAATTAAACACTAAGCACTCTGACGATACTGACTTGTGTGCTTAGCAGAAAACAATGGACAAAGGATGTACATAGAGTAATGTTCTGAAACGGATGGCTAGTCATTGCTTACCAGCACATGAATAAATATCACATATCTCTAAGATGCATGTAAGAAGGAAAACTATGACAAAAAAAATATTGGTTGGTAAAAAGAAACTAATTTTAGCCAACAGCTTTAAAAGCTCTTTGCACCAACAGGTGGTGCTCATTGGAAATCCACAGAAATCACACACTAAAAAATAGTGGAAAAAAGATACAGGTGACTCAGTGTATCTGACTACTAAACTGCTCCTCCACAATCAAATTAAATAGAACGTCAAAAAGAAAAAGAAAAAGGACACCAGTAAAATGGTTCGACTGCCCACACAAATATATTTCATACTACAGGGAACAAAACTTAATGGTAACAGATGATGATCATGACCCTGATTCAATTTATCGCCAATCTAACCTAGAGAGACATGCGGAAATTGGAAAAAGAACAGTAAGTCAGGATCTATTAATCCCTGTAGTAAGAATGTGATGTGGCAGTCCAAACAGGTATACGAAAAAAGGAATAACATTTCTTGGAGAAAACTGTTTTTCTTTAACTTTGCAGCTTACATACAAACATAGATCATTACCTTTTCCCCAGCATGCACAGCTGGTCATAGTATATCATATATTGCTATCAAATACCTACAGATTTCCCTGTGCCAGCTATACGGCTAATTTATCCTAATCCCTGTGTATTTTGGATTAGACCCAGTATCCAATATGGGGCACTGCCCTCCCTTCACAGGATCAATGACATGGTTCTTATAAACTTGGTAAAAGGTCCTGTGACACCTGTTCTTTGTTCTGAAATATGTAAAAAACTCATCAACACTTTATAAGAAGCCCAAGATGAACCACAGAAATGTAAACACAATCAGAAATCTCCTCTAGTCCCACTAAGCTCCTCATGCTCAAATAATTACCTTCCCGGAATGATCATCCTGCTGATTCAGGTGTTTTGAGGAGAATCTCAGTAAGAAAGGTCGAACTCTTATTGTAATGCAGTGGTGTGTGATCACAGACTCTCCATCGCTCATATCTCAGCAATATAAAGTAGAGTGGCCCAGCTGCAGATTAGGAAGCTGCTGCTAAATGCAATTTATCACACGTTATCATTTTACCAGATTGCTGCAGTTATATAGTGTGTGTTCGAACACGCTGCATTCTTGTGCATGCGTGCGCCTGTGCAGATGTGTATGAATGTGTTTTCTGTGGCGAATTCCAGACTGAGATTGCTGCTGGACTATGACCAAACAGTTACAGTGTGAGAGAAGTACATTCTCCCACAACAAAAGGATTATAGTGGAGACAAAGTAGAAAACAGAAGCAGAATATCATATGTAAGCAGCACAGTGGAGAGAGAGGGTGAGAGATATGGATATTTTTTTTTGCATTCAATATTGACCACAACACAAAACAAAGATTTTAGCTTTAAAAGGACTATAATGGTGTTTTTGTACATTTTAGTACCTTATCTATTTTTGCTGACAAATTTCAAAGTTTTCATACTGTTTTTTGAAAGTGGTTGTAATCAATATTTTATATTAACAATGGATCACATGGCTATTTCTATGTGAAAGGGGTCACTTTTAGAGACAAACAGAAAACTATCACTCAACTCTGCAATTCCCCTCAGTTTTACTGTTTTCCACTCTCAAGTATGAAATTTGTAGAAAATGGGCTAAAACATGCAAAACCTTGAATTTAAACCTACCACTATCCTTTTTTTTTTTTACCAACTTCTTATGTTGCATAATGTTTACCTTCATAGGTTTCTTTTCTTTACAAAAATGTAGGCATGCCATGGTGCAGGAACATCATCAAAATCAAAATTATCAGACTATTCATGTCCACAACATGCAATCTCATTCTAATATGCATGGCTGTAATTATCACTAAAGTATCCACATAATTTCCTACCTTGCCAAGTATTCCCCCGAGCTTCTGTTACTCTGTTGTACATCCATACAGTTTGTAGTACCAGGTATGAGTGCCAGGGCAGGATTTTGTTGGGCTGCACTGCCCACCGCCCGTGCGACCAGCTCCACTGAGTCTTGGACGTAGTGATCCAGAGAAGGGGACCCCATGACCCCATGTGCCAGTAACCCCAGAGGCAACCCCTCTGTTCTCAGCTCAGCCACATTCTGGCTGTCCCCCAAAACCCAGTGAAACTCTGGGAGCATCATCCGGGTGGCCAGTGTCCACAGACGGCGAACCTCACGGATCTCGCACCCAAATGTCACCACTCCTGTCGTGGAAGAAGGTTCTCTCAGGGCCTCCAGCTGCCGCATGAGAGCTTGCTGCTGGTCTGATTTGGAGGATGAAGTGGACGAAGAAGCAGGAGATGAGGCAGCGGGGGAGAAATAAGGTAAAGACGACAATGACGACGCTGCCTCCACTCCTGTTGCGACACCTGATGCCACTCCTGAGTGTGATAATGAAGATGAAGTCTGTGGCGAGGTTGAGGCGACAGTTGTCAGTTTGACAAGAGTGCCCAGGTGAAAGCGGGTATTGTTCTTGATGAGGACGAGGAAGTCGCTAATGTCCCATTCCTGACAGAGCACAACACTGATGTCCCACCAGCCATTCATCATCAGCAGGGAATAGAGGAGACGGGATGGCGGGGCCTCCACGGTCCGCATCGCCATTTGGAAATGGAGAGAATTCTGTTGGGAGATTGTAGCAGAAGCAGATGTAATGAGAGATGATTTGACAAGCCGGTGTAAATGGTTTACACAAAGGACAAGAAAAAAGGTTAGAAGGGTGAAAGTGGAAGACAGCGGAACAGAGAAAATGATGTGATTTGGGAAAGTGGTGGTAAAATGTGCATTTACAGAGAAAAGAAGGGAATGTGTGTACAAGGGAAGAGGGTGAGGAAGATTTTAGTGAAAAGAGATGGAAAAGATATGAGGGAAGAGCATAGGGAATGGGATTGGAGCGATGGGATAGAGATACAGTACAGTTAAACAAATAAACAGGAGGAAATAGAGGAGATGAAAATGTAAGGGGGCAGAGAGATAGGAGAAAAAAAAAACATTAGAAGACGTTTTTTGGAATGAAGGGTAAATTGTGAAAAAGGGAGAAGGGAAAGATGTGATGCAAAAAGCATGAAAGGCAAAATAAGGACAATGGAAGGATGGTTGAGGAGGTGGTGAGGTGCAACGTTAAGAAAGAAGAAAGGAATAAGAATAGGAAGAAGGGGTACCAGGAAGAAGAAACAGATGTAGCAGAGCGGAGAAGAGAAGAAAAAAGGAAAGAAAGGAAGACAGAAAGGTTATAAATCGAACAGTAGAATTACTTCCTATCTTAGAATTCAATTTGTTCCTCGAGAACAAACACAGTCTGTTGGATATAATGGATTTCAGCCTCCACTTACCTGCCTCCATGAATATCATTATTCACATCATAAGAAATACACTACATCTATTTTTATGTGTACTCTATTTGTATTTTAAGCAACCTCAAACTTTCCACATACTGTACTACGTAATGTAATCACACCTCTGATTTGTGATTAATAAATTCATCAGCTGATTGATGAGGCCTGGACGGATCAATGGGCAGAGCACAGCAATGGTTGGACGATAAAAGAGTGTGGTCTTGTTGTGCTGTAAGGTGCTGTGATGAAAACCATTGACCAAATGGTTAAATGCTCAAGAAAGATACCAAAATGAAAAGCGTGATTATTCTTTTTGCCTTTTGGCATTAGAATCACCAAAGACATAGATATGATAAATATAATTTACACTATCTTTCATTATAGTCTGGTCCGAGTATACATAATGTTACAAATCTTACATAAACAAGATCTCAATTTTGTGTGTGAGAGGCTGAGTGCTTGCTTGCTTTGTAATTTGGGAAATGGGCTTTTTGTCAGTGATGTTTTATATTGTCCTATACCAATATAAAACAATTTAACAACATATTTTGTTAAATGACCATACAGGTGGTATTATATTAGCCCATCAGTGACATGTTTTGTAGTCTTTATATTGCTGTTGACCATTTTCCACCAACCTTTTCATATTAATTTTGCAGGCTACAGCTGGTTTCACTTTATTTCAGTATGTTAAATCACATTTGAGAGCCTCTGAATGTGCTTGAGATAACTAATCCACAGTGAAAAAGCCACTGCCTTTCATTTTTGTTTAGTCACAGTTATCTTTGTGTTATCGTGCAATGTTGCAAGCAGGGACCAATTTCAGAAGTCTCCTTTTCTCATTGATGTTATCAAAGAATCAATCCAGGAGACAAATAGTATGCAAATATTGATACTGGAAATGTGTGGTTATGTGAAGTTTTTCAGCAGCAGGACTCTCAAACCATCTCTTTCAAAACATGGTGGTTTAACATGCTGGGCTGTGTGGAAGAAGACTCTGTACACAAAAACGGTTAATTCTAACGAAAATACAATGATTCTTATTTTCAGGTGATCACTTATGAAAACATATCTATACATGTTATATTCCATTTCTGCTAATAGATCCTCCAAAATGGTACACACAGGACCTTTAAAAAAGTCACTAAAATGCTCTCTGTGATCTTAACCAAGTCAAGCACTCATTACTTATATGTCAAGAAAGTGAAAACAGCGTTCCGCAAGGTTGAACATTAATCTTAAAAATGCTCTAGAAATGGTTGACAGCAATGTAAAATATTGTATGTAACTGGCTGAAACAGGAAAAACCACAGAAAAGGTCCACTGACTCCCTTTGACCAGTGCAAACCTACTGTACTCTACACATGCAGTGCATTGCACCTAAAGGATTATAGTAAGCCAGAAGATCAGAACAGATACGTTTCAAAGTTGACACAGTCAGCCCTGTAATACTTTAGATAAAATTAAATAGGCCAGATCAGGCTGTATGAGCTGCCAGTGCTGCTTCAGTGTACCTTGGCATACTGTACCCGGCGCTCAACATACCAGCCACCCAGGCAATCAATTAGTCATGCATTTGCTTGCATGCACTCACGCACACACACACACACAAGCAGAACTACACACACTTAAAAGGCCCTCAGCAACTCTGTTTAATTGACTTTACAACTTTTACACAAGCTTTGCACTAAAAGTCCATTAGATTAATCTATTGGTTAATTTCATTTATCCCATTAATCACTCTACCCAATAGGCATGCAAATAAGACAATTATTCATCTGCTTATTGCATATACATGGATGGATTTTTGCTGCAACAAAAGCACCAACAAAAGCAATACTATACGTGTTCTATTTTAGATTTAGAAATCCTGTGTCAGGGAAAGAAATGGTAATGCAGTCCACAGGGCATCAGACCCTCACCTTCTCTCATCTCCCAGGAGGACTGGAGGATTTTATTCTCCGCTGCTCCACTTGTGCACTGTGATCACCATAAATCTGTAACCCTCTTTTTGTTCCTCGTGTAAATAAACAGGGAAGATTTTGCTAGAAAGTGCGACTGCCTGCTCTGTTACATAAATACAGAGGTCTGCTGCTTTTTATGCACCAGGAAATCCCAGCTCTCCTGTCACTTTGCTCTTTTTCATCACTCTTCTCACTTCAAAAATCTTCATTTTTTTCTGTTATTTCCACAGCCAAAATGTATTTGCTGTGAGTTTTTATGTGAAGAAACTTGCAACCCTTGCTGTATGGTAAAACTGCAGGGACTGGCAGAATCATGAGCCAGTGGACAAATCATTCATCAGTTATTGATCTTTTCTTGATTAGATGATTCATTGTGTGAAAACTGATTTAAATGGGTATTCTTTTTTACAAGATTTCAGAAGTTTTCTTTGGTACACATATAGAACACAGCCCTGTCTTTGCAATAATTTTCAGAGAATGTTGGTTTAGCAAAAACCCAATATATTGCAAATGTTGCAAAATGTGCTGGGGGTCTCACTATTTATCTTTTCACAGCAAGAAATCCCTACGGCCCCAACGCCTAATTCTAACACCTACCCATTCCTCTTAACCTTTCATCCCTCTGGCCATGTGATGTCACTCCCAGCGTTATTTATGAAGGGACTCCACTAACTCCATAGTCAGCAAAGCACTATTGTTTATCTGTTATCCCTAGATAGATGGTGAGGACATAATTACTCTGATATCCTAATCAGTGTAATCTACAAATTAATTTACCAGCATCAAATTGAAAAGATATTTCCAGGTTTACTGTGTATAAGTGCTTTTTTTAATCTTACTTTTATACTGTCATCCTTCAGTCCCAACTCACTCATTGTGAGTAAAAAAACCCAATTTTTATATAGGCTATCTGGCACACTGCATGAGTGGGTATGTGATGCACATGAGGTTTAACACGTCTACACATGCCAAAACACAGAGATTGAACAAAACTATCATGAAAAAGGACTTGATTAGTCATGATTTGACATGACATGATTCCAATTAATTCAGAACGCTGCAGCACAAGTACTGACAGGAACTAGGAAAAGAGATCACATCTCTCCTGTATTAGCTTCTCTGCACTGGCTCCCTGTAAAATTTAGAAATAGAAATTTAAAATTCTCCTCTCACCTACAAAGCTCTTCATGGTCAGGCCCTTCATCCATATCTCCGAAGAGCTCATAGTACCCTGATTTACCCTTATGAACATCTCGTTGCTTTTTCTATTTATGCTGGTCATCTTGTGGTCCATAGTCTCTAAAATTGTCATGACACATACCAGAGCTCTTTCAGTACCATAGTCTCTTCTTCCTGTGCGAACCAGTTCATGCTGCGTTCTGGTTGAGGCCAGGTACACCTCTCCATTCATTTATATGTAGTGTCTTATAGACGTCTCTCTGTATTATATATCTATTATGTATGGTTCTGCGATTCAGTATGGTAGTCCACTCATCTCTTATATCTCTATTATTATCCGTAGTTTATCTATTTTCGGTTATTTTTCCCAAATCTATTCTTGATGTCTCCCTTTTTTCTCTCTCTTCTCTGCCACTCTATCTATGTTCTCCTAAATCTTTATGTATTCTTTTTTTTTTCTTACTAACTTCACTTCTTCCCCGCGAGTTCTTGCTGCTTTTCGGTCTTGCAGGTTACTTAGTTGCATCCTGCTTGGGAGCCTCCCTGCCCATGCGTCTCTGCTGGCATTGCCCATTACCGAATACTCTGCACCTGTCGTCTGTCTGCTCTGTCTGTCTGTCTTTCTCTCTCTCTCTCACCCCCAACTGGTCGAGAACAGGGACGACCACCCACCTAGAGCCCGGGCAAGGATCTTCCTAGCGTTTCTTTTTTATGCGCCTGTTAAAAAGGCAGTTCTTTCCTTGCCCTTGCCTCGCCAAGTCTTGGCTCATGGTGGTACTGTTGGTTCTCTCGTAAATAATCCGCTTATAAGCGAGTTCGTCTTAGAACTGCTCTATTTGAAAAGTGTCCTGAGAATAACTTCTGTTATGAATTGGCGCTATACAAATAAAATTGAATTGAACTGAATTGAATTGAATTTAAAACACTACAAAGGTGGGTCATTTAAAGTTCTCTGTCAATACCTCATACGCTGCATGTCAGTCTATGATTGCTGGTAAGTTTGAATGTGTGTACTTGCCACATTTTCATCAGTGCTACTGTTGTAAGGATTGATCCAGACTATTTTGGGTTGTCAGTGATTTGGAGCTCACAAAGTATAAGAACTGATTGTGATAGCTGACACTGACAAATTCTGCTTTGTGGCATTCAATATGACTCAATTTTGAGTTAATATGACTGTGATAAAGTCCAAAGACCATGACATATTTACACATCGACTCATTTCTTCATATGTAGCTTGTTTCTGTCCTGATAAAAACATGTTCAGACTATCAAATTGTACACTAGTGCAGTTGTTAGTTACACCTGTACAAACTAATGCAGTGCAGCACAACACCACTAAGAACAGCCTTAAAAACTGCCATAACATATAATCATCAACATTGATTAAACTGATACTGTTTGCAAAAGCTGAACATGATAATCTTAGCAACGGTTGGATTTCTTGCAAGACATTTGCACGTTTGTACTGATTAGAATGTACAGATGAATCTAATGAATCGGCAACACGGTGGATACCTCCTGCCACTGCCGGTAATTTTCATTGCACGCCTTCACATCCACTCTGTATATGCCCTTTGACATAAAGGGAATATCTGCAACACATTTTAATGCAAAGAGCATACATTTGTAGATAATTGGATTAAGTAGCAATAGATATTTGCATAATATATGCTTTAGGCTCTCACTGAAGATGCTGTATTTTCCACAAGCTCAGTCCTCCTATCAGAGACAGCTGGTCTTTCCCAGGGAGTTTCCTTTCCCCATGAGTTTCTCCGTCCCTGGCCTTTATATGCTAAATCCTCAGTTCTGTGCTGCTTCCAGGACCCATTGCCACCTACTCCCAACCCACCTAGCCCCTTTACTCTGGGGTCACTTTATGCTTTGGTCCTTAAGCAGGCGTATGATTTCGACACTTATATAACAAACTGTGGGCAGATTATATTATCAAAGGCTGCTTGCTGATTTATTATATTATACAATTTTCAACAGTGAACTTTCTTTAACCTTAATTATAAACCTAGAATAAATGTGGCAAATGTCAAATAAAATGATGACGATATCCTCTAAAGACACTCAAAAAGTTTTCATATTTTGAAAACTCTGTTTTGGAGAAATTGCTGTCAGCCTTCAGTTGGGATTTGCTAGCAAAACTAGATTGAGTCAGAGGGGAGTTAAGCCATTTCTCTAAAAGTCACACACAAGCACTGCACAATCTGTTTGTATGGCTGCCTATTTTGCAGTCAGTTTTTCTGCCAGTTCATCCTTCCATCCATCTACCCACCCATTCATCCATCCATCAATCTTTGTCAGCTGGTTTGTCTGCTTTACCTACACCTGTTATTTCACTTTTAAGAACCTGTTTGGACTTTAAACACCTGCTGACTCCTTACAGTGAAATGCTTCCTTGTGCACAGAGCAGGAAATTAGATATTACCCTGGAGAAACGCACACACACACACACTTACACATACACTAACACACACACACACGGATGCACGCACATGCACATGCACATGCACACACACAAACACACACACACACACACACACACACACCACACAAATGCACACACACACACACACACACACACACACACACACACACACAATACTATAGCTCAGTAGGTGGCATGTGTCCCAGAGCCCTTCAGTCTAACTAATGGTTCGGATGTGTGTGTTTCTGTGTGTGTGTGTGTGTGTATGTGTGAGAGAGATGAGTGTTGAAAAAAACAATGATGCTCTTTCCCACTCCCAGAACGGTTGTGTGTGGAAAGTCAAACACACACACACACACACACAAAACTCAGACTGCTCATTGGTACTCATTGATATGCAGTAACTGCCCTGTTAGTGCCACCTAATTAAAGAGGTTTACAGTGTATAGTTACACTGAATCATTTTGTGTATCTGTCTGTGTGGGTGTGTCTACTTAAAATTTCTACCTGTACGCACAAATATATACACACACATACACACACTCACAAATACTCTCAGTAGGCTTCTTTTCCAGAGAATAATAATTAATGAACCGTCCCAGTGATTAATTTGGAGTGTTTACACTTTTAACTAATTTTCTCTCTCTCACATTCTAGCGGCAAACTCTACTGATAATCTTCAGTCTGTGTATTTGGCAAAAGAACAGCTTTTTTTTTGTTCAGCTCATGAAATTGACTAAGCTCACGACCCACCTCCTGCCAACTGTCAAGGTTAATTTTAAACATGAGGGTGATCTTCCTCTAACCTAAACAAAATGGTAGTTGCCTAACCATACATCCATAAGGGAGACCAGATAATGCTATATCATTTTGTTTTCAGAAGCCTACAACCTGTTGTTGTTCTGATGTTCTCTATGCAGGTATTGATTCCTACAAACACCTTAGATCTCTATAGTTTCACAGATTGCCATTTCAAAGCTAAATTCAAAAGATGGATGGTTATTATTTCTTAAAAAGTCCTGCCTACTTTTACGGAATAATAGCTCTTGATCAAAACAAAGCTGATAGTAATATTGCCCACTGGTTTAAAAAATGATAATACCACTGCAGATTATATTTTAATTCATGATTAAGTTCGTATAATTGTGTTTTCCAGTCAAGTGGGTACACTTGTAAAAAGGACTGCATATATACTGTAGGCTAGCCAAATATACACAGAGGTCGTTTGAAGAACAGGTGTGAAAGAACCTTTATCACATAAAAAATCCATCTTGCCAGGCTTCAATCTATGTGTTTGTGGCCAAACTACAGTGGTACCAGACCATCCTGCAACATCCTTTGACGTAGTACTGACAGCTATTTTTTGAAAGTGCCTGCCCTTTTCCAAACTTCCCACATAGTTCTGTGTAACAAAACATCTTGCACAGTCAAAACAATTTTGACTTCATTGTAAAATGCCTTCAAATTTTTGATGTATGGTTGACTCACTGTGTGCATTCACCTCTGGGGTAAACTTGGTCTTGCTTATGGGTGGCTCTGCATAAATGGGTTTTATGTACTGACATTAGAGTTTGAATTTGGTTTGACTTTATAATTAGTCCTCTGATCCAAGAATGATTGTCATATAGGTGTCTAATAATGATGGATAGATGGATTGTCATAGTTTGTCATGTTTTTGTGTTGAAAGGAGTTTGATTTAATACTGTAGATGTGTACTTCTTGAGGTTAGCTAAAGCTGTTACTAGTGTGTGAGTGTGTGTGTGTGTGTGTGGATTAATCTCAGCTGGGGAGGTAGTAAGTTGTTAAAATGATGTATAGTACCAAGTTGATTCTTTTACTACAGTATACTCATGTGCTCTCTCTCTCTCTCTCTCTCTCTCTCTATAGTGCTGAACTTCTGCTTTATGTACACAGAGTACGATGCTGAATCCCAACAAAGCATTTCTTTATGCATATATATCCTTTGGGGCATGTGCTGCTGGGTGCATGCAGCCTTCAATCGCAGTTTTACTCGTTACATTGTTCTGTAGAAGATAAGAGAATGCACTCTCCTCCTCCTCTTCTGCAAACAGACAACCAGTGCACGCTGTAGATTTCAGCACCATGGACAGAGCCTGCTGGTGCTGTCCATGCTCCTTAATTTGCTTTCGGTCTGAAGCCACTGCAGCCTTTTTCAGACCTCAAAATGTGATGCTTTAAATGTGAAAATCAAGAACACCAACTCGTGTCACATATTGTGTGTATCGCCACTTTAGCTTAATTTGGGCCATTTAACCAAGAGTGGTGAAATCAATACTGAACAAGAAAAGAAAAGAAAGGAAAATGTTCTGCCCTTCATCTGAAAGAATGCACACAGGAGGAGGAGGAGGAGGAGGAAGGCCAGGAAACACAGAAGGCAAGTGTCTCCCCCTCCAGCCTCTGTCTAATATCTGGGCCACTGATGGTGAATTAGGCCTCATAAATCCACATGAGCTCATTTTATTCACGTCTTTAAACGGAGATAAATCTATCTTTGTGTGAATTGAACTGTTGGACATATGGTGTTCACTTGTCACAGAGGCAACCCGTGTTTCTTTATATAACATCTGTTACACCTGTACAGACACAGCCCACTGCAGCTGGATGCCGAAGTGCAGTAATCAACAGTTAACAGCAGTTCTAATGAAACTTAGGAACAACTTTTTTTTTTTTTTTTACCTCACTCTGGCGCGTAAATTCTCTCTGCACAACGCTGACTACTGGCACCTGGAGCGCCAGTGACACGAACTCCAACTTGACAAACTCGTCCCGGTTCCGTGGAAAGGCGATCATGGCGGACACCCCCTGCACGACCACGGTGTGACACACGCTCTCCACGAAGGACAGCGGGTCCTCGATCTCGGGGCTGCCCGCAGAGGAGGAGGAGAACGCGGGCAGCTCGCCGAGTCCGGACCCAACTGCCATGACAAGCTCCATGGATAAATTGTATGGCAGCAATCCGGCCCGGTTGAGAGCCTCGACCGCGAGCAGGACCGAGTCGCGGGGTGCGAACACGCGGTTCTCCTTCGAGGTGTTCTCTTCCCGCTGTCGTGCCTGGCTCTTACTCCTGTTGGATCCCCGCTGGCTATTGGCGGTGCCCCTGGTCCTGAGGCTTCCATATCCAGGCGCACTGGCACTTGTTTTAACCTGCTTTTCCAACTCCAGCAGCCGCTCCCCGCTCCCTACCAAACCTCGATCGCTGTCCCAGTCCTCAGGACCGCTGCCGGCGGGGGTGGTGGCGAGCAAGCGAGGCTGGACATGCAGAGCCCCGACCCGGACCGTGTGGCCGATCCGTTTCAGCACCTGGCACGGCTGCGGGTGCGAGAGAGCGCACAGGGGGAGAAAGACGAGTGCGCACAGAACTAAACATAATGATGGTGAGACCCCGCTGCCAGCTCGAGCTGCCGGGCCATTCATCATCATCGTCACCACCGTCTTCATCACCCGCGCTCCACAGCTGCACCGGATGCCCCGTACAACTGCAGAACGGCCGAACACCGGGGCCGCTCCGTTGGTCCCCCTCCTGGCCCCCTGCGTGTGGCCCTGGTGCACCGCTCAGACCAGCTGCAGTCCCCGCTCCAGCAGCTCCGGCTCCAGCTCGTGGCAAAGTTGTGCGTTTCTCCACGGACACAGACAACAGGCTGCTGAGGCGCGAGATCAGGCACGAGCCCCGCACAAGCAAAAAATTATCCCCAAAAGTGCTGTTTTTCATCTCAAAAGATTTTCATCATTCAAGCCTTTTGATTATTAAACAGGTCGTGGAATCAGATGGTAAAAATTCCAGATATTCCAGTGGCAGAAAAAAATTAATAAAAATGAAGCAGAGTGTGTGTAGGCAAGCCCAGAGGAGGAAATGTCGAAAAACAGGTTAATGCGCATCAAACACGTTCCAAAACAGTGAAATCCACCACTGGAAACATCTGATGGCTTCAAAGGAAAATTATCCCATTATCATCCAGAGCGCAGGAGCCAAGACAACATTACTTCGTCCCGGTACTCGAGAGGAAAAAAGAAAAAAGAAGAAGACCTTTTCCCCCTTGTCAAACACCCGAGAAGAAGCTTTCCAGAGCGCGCGCGCTGCTTGGCTCGAGTCAACCTCTGTACCGACACTAGTACCGGAGAGACCTCCAACACGAGAGCGCGGTCTTCTGCGCACGTTCCAATGAGACTTAACCCCGTCCTCACTTTACCTCCACCCCAACAGTGTCAGTGGGATAGGTTATGGATAAATATAGCAAAATACCACACAACTAAATAGATAGATAGATAGATAGAACATCACCTCTGCGAGTCTAAAACTTGACACACCATGAACCAAGAACACCAAGAGCAACAGAATGGTTGAAGGTTTTTGTCTAGATTGTGTCAGAGGGGCGTTGATTTCGATTTATGGTCATATTCTAACCTGTCCTAGTGGTTACATAAATATGCAATGTTACATTATGTGTGCATACAACACTTCAAAGCCTGACAGCAGAAAATTCAACACTACACACTAACAATTAGAGACAAATCCACACTTATGCTACAGTTTAACAAAAGCTAAACAATCCCTTTTCCAAAACTGTATTGATATGATGAATATGTAAGATTGCTGTGTTCCAATTAATGTGTCCAGCACCTGTATGGCTCCCAGGCATTACACAAGGTAGAGGATTTATTGCTTATCAAAGTATAATGTCTGCAACTCTACTGTACAGCTAATGACACATTTACACATGTGCCTACTTAAACCAGGGTCAATCTCACGTTTTAAACCTGCGCCCTGATTTTATTACGGCACAAAATATCAACATATCTATATCTGAATCTGTTTTTAAAGAAGCATAAGTTCATTTTTCATGAATCATCTAAACATGTTCAAAAACATTGTGCAACACATTGATTAGATGCATACAGAAGGATTTGTGAGATTTTATTGTAGACATGACCTGCACTGTGTGTGTGTGTGTGTGTGCGTGCGTGCATGCTCAGCCAATTTAGACAAAAGCAGACAGCCACCTGCTCTTAATAAGATTGTTTTATTTAATCATATCTAAGGACACCTGATTAGATCTTTAACAGCTGCTGAAGGAGGGTATGTTTAACTCATGTGCCTCATGTTGCTGTGGTAACCCACAGGTCATAGGTCACCATTGACCCAATCAGCAGCCCCAGTTTAAATAGCGACCCAGATTAATGATTGGTTAATTGTCTGATCTAGATTAATGATTGGCTAATGGTCTGTCTTGAAATGAGAGGCTGTCTACCAGGATATCGGAAGATCAATGACCCTGATCGATCTGATACAGCATGACCTCAAAGGATGGGACAGGAAGGAAAAGAGAGAGCGAGACAGAGGAGAGGACAGAGATTTTGACAAGAGAGGAAAAAGAGGAGGAGGAGGTGGCAACCAGAGGGACTGTGGGAGAAGGAGGAGAGAGAAGCAGAGGGGATGGAGAGGGAAGGGGAGCACAGGCATGGAAATGGGAGGATTGATGGGAGGAGAAACGATGGAGGGTGAGGCAAGGAGAGATAGAGAGGAGGAGTGGAGAAGTGGATGCTGTAAGGTCAAGAGAAGAGGAAAGAGAACAGGTAAATTAAGACAGAATGTGTGGAATGAGAGGCGATAAGAGGCTGCTTCAGCTGCACCCTCTTTAAGGAATCGACGGTATTACGAATACAAGAAAGATATTTTATTGAAGAAGATTAAACAAAAGCAGAAGTGGGCAGAAGAAGGAAAAAAATGCACTGAGCGAAAGATTCAAGGTGAGATTTAAGAGTGAATCTTTGAAAGAGTCATCATAGTTGTTGTTGCACCAAAAAAGCAATTCTGTTTTTTTTTTTTTTTTTGCTATTACATTTTGCACCATGTGGAGAAATGGGATATCAGGCAGCCATGTGCTGCACAGGGTTTTCAAAAAGGCTTCAGTCAGAGTGTTAATTCTAATTCCAGCTCTTGATAAAGAGACAGTTTAATCACACAATGGTTGAAGATTACCTCTGCCATTGAACTGAGCTCAGAGGAGAAAGTTCATACTTTTACTTTGATATTCTAGCTGTTTCCCCATGGGCCTCTCGTAGGAAATTCATGCTTTTTGGGGACTGTATGAACATTTTTTGGAGAAATGGATGAGGGTATATTATTTTTTATTTTCATACCCCATTTACCCCGTTTTATTTCATCCATCCCCTGTGAGATTTACTTTATAAAAAAGAAATCAAATAAGCACATAAAAAGATGGCTTTTGTGTGCTCAACGGGTCAGAAGGGGTACATTTGGCCATATGCACATGACAAAAGTCCTAGTTATTAGTGTCTGTTATCTCTGCCAAAGTAATTTCACTAGCCCACGCTAGCCTGCTTCACTATATTCTTCGTCATAACAGAGTTGCCGTGATAATATCAAGTCTCCTGATCAGTGGCGTGAAATGAAACATGACAGACTGATCAGAAGACACACTTTATCATTCAGTCTTCCACAGTTAGCTCAGCTGTAATACAGACTTTTAGAAATGTTCAATATTTATAGCACTTTGTAAAACCAGACCAGCTGTGTGTAAAATGACAGCTTGCTGGTGGGTAAAATGTGCATCATTGAAACAACACATATCCACTCAGTCCCTTAGGGAGAATAAATCACATTTCCTGTTCATTGAGTAACACTGACTTAGAAAAAGGGTTTTTTAAATGCATTTTTACATAAAAGTTAATGAAAGTCTGACCAAAACTAAACCCACATTTATGTTAAAGTGTTTTTCCAGCACTGCTTTTGTCTTTCTTACTTTGTTGTTTGTCTGTCTGTCCACTTTCGAGTTCTTTATGTAACTTCCTGTGTGCCCAACTTTGTTTGTACCTAGCAGCTGGTCCTCCTGCTTGCAGGCTCATCTTATTTCACATGCCTGTCCACCTGCCTATAGCACCTAAGTTGCCCCCCTCTTTTGTCCCTGTCTGAATATCTGTCTGACCCCTTGTCAGACTGCATATTCATCCATGTCCCCGCGTGTCTGCTTTGGTTGTCTGACTTGCTGACTATCACCTGTCTGCTTCCCTGCTGATCTGCCCAGCTTTCTGCCTTCCTCCTCGGTCAGTATCATTGCGTAACTGTCTGCCTGACTGTCTGTCGCTCTGCCTGCCTGTCTGACAGTTAGTCTGCTCGCTGTATCGTGGTGCTGCAGACTTCTCTGACCCTTACACCTGCCAACCAAATTCCTCCATGGTTCAATTCTTTCCCCCTCGGCAGCAGGGCTTATGAACAAATGAAACCAGAAGGCACAAAGAAAAATCAAGGTTAAAGCACCTATTAGACACCGACTGGGTCTAAATGCACCAACACGCACAGATCACACAGACACACAGCCTTCCATGCATACAGGTACATTGATTTACTTTAACAAATACAGGCTACCAAATTCTGTCTTTTGTGAAGCTAAAAGGGCATTTGAAGAGAGGAAACTTGATATATTTGAAGATAGTTTTATTTGTCTATAGTTTTTGAGAAAGTTGTATGATTATGACTGAGGTATAAGTTTGCATGGAAGCCTTGATACAGTCGAGACAGCATGAGCAAACACCTTATTTTAAAATATTTAATCCCCCCATTGGTCTGCTGTCACAGCTTCAAGCTGTTGCCGTAACTTTTAAAGCGATGTTTTGATTTATAAATGTTTCTTTTTTTTCTCAGCAAATAGCACTATTGTCAACATATTTGTTCAGAGGAGCAGTATTTTTTTGTACAAGTGTATGTTGTTACAAATATCTTACACACAACCACTTCCTTATGCTGTTTTTCCCCTTTTGAGTCTCAAATGAAATGATTCAGTCAAGCGAGGCAGTTGGTGTTTGAAAGCAAAACAAGGAAAGATTTCTGTTGTTTGTCCAAAAAAACATAATTAGGCATGCATTGAGTAATGTATTCAGCACAAATCATGTGGTATAGACTAACAGTTTCATGATTTACCCTCTTCTCTCACAACCAGCGTTACCAGAAATTAAGGAAGAAAACAGAATGAAGAGAAGAAATGAAAGACTGATACGCTTGCAATCAATCAGTCCACAGTGTGACTTTACATTTTACAGCACAGCTCTGCCAAGGTCAAGTGGTCGAGCCAAAAAAAAAGAAATAAAGTTGTTTCCAGTAGCTTATGTTTTCATTATGCATTTTACAGTAACTCACACCAGGAATTCAAACATTTTCATTTGTTTTTGTCTTTATTTCTTATTCACTAGAGCTCAGACTGTTACAGTGGTTTACATTTACTGAGTCCATACTGTTTTCTTTTACACATCAAGTAACAAAGCAGTTCATTCAACACAGAGTGTATAAAACCACATGAAGCACCTCTCATGAATGAAAGATATTCTCTAAGGGGATAACAATTTACATTCAAATCTTAGCCACTAATACCTTTTTATGCATGCTATTATTCATGATAATAGTGGAAGGAAGAAATGATAAGAAA